GCTTCGTGAACACGCGCGAGTAGTAGGCGACCGGGTGCAGACCGTCGCCGGACTCCGACCTCTGCATCAGCACACCACCCAACGCGAGATCTGACGCATCCGAGAAAATCTCAAACGGCCGCGACGTGTCGGGGTACGCCAGCACCGGCGCCTGGACGAGCGCCTGCTGGATCGCGCGGAACGACTTCTCGCACTCTGCCGACCAGACGAATGGGACATTCTTCCGCGTCAGCATCGTCATCGGGCGCGCCAGCTCGGCATAGTTCGGCACATGACGCCTCATGAAGGACGCGAGGCCGTTGACCTCACGCACACCAGTCGCGTCCGTCGGCGGCTTCCAGTTGAGGACCGCCTGCACCTTGCGAGGATCCACCGCCACTCCGGCTTCGCTGACCCGCCGCCCCAAGAAGTCGACACTCGACGTGCCAAACACGCACTTCTTCAAGGAGACGTACAGGTCAAACTCCCTCAGCCGAGCCAGCATCTGCTTCACGTGGAGCTCGTGCTCCTCCGGCGTCTTGGAGAACACAATAATGTCGTCAAAGTACCCTCCAGCGAAAGCGGAGAGCGGGCCCATGACCTCATTAATCAGACGCTGGAACATCGCCGGCGCGTTGACCAACCCGAAACACATGACCCTGTGTTGGTACAGCTTGCCGTCGCACGGGAACGCCGTGTATTTCTCACTGTCGGCGCTCAATCTCACTTGCCAGAACGCGCTCGTGAGATCAAACTTGCTGAAAATTTTCGCGCCCTTCAGCTTGTCAATCAGCGCCAAGGCATCAGGCGACGGGTACCGATCCCTGATCGTCGCCTCATTCAGACGCCGGGAGTCCATACAGACGCGCCAGCCATCACCCTTCTTGACGAACATGGGCTGGGAGCAGAACGCGGACTCGGACTCCACAATCATGCCAGTCTTCAGGCCGTCCTCCACGTACTTCCTCAGAGCTTCCTCCTTGCTACGGCCAAACTTGCGGTTCGGGTCGCACCTGAGCTGCTTGGACGGGTCAATACGGATCACCGCATCAAAACCAGGTCGGCTCACGGGCAACTTCTTGGGTCCGCTCGGCTCAAAACGATCAGCGAACTCTGCGTACGCCTCGGGCAAAACCACCTCCAGCGCATCGGCCGCCGCGACCAAGCGCACAAACATACGCCGCTTCTGTCGCTTCCGACGTCGCCGGAACGCCACCACTGACGACGGCAACCTCGCCTCCGACGCTTCCCGCTGGATCGCCACCGGCGCTGGCTTGGTCCCTGTCACCACCGGCTTCGCCTCTTCCGCTGCTGCCGCCGGCTTGGCCTCTGTCGCCGTCGCCGGCTCGGCCTCTGTCGCCACCGCTGGCTGAGCCTCGCCCTGCGCCGGCTTGGCCTGTGTCGCCGGCTTAGTCTCGTCCTGAGCCTCCGTCTCTTGCGCCACCGCCGGCTTAGCCTCGTCCCGCGCCACTTGCGCCACCGCCGGCTTAGCCTCGTTCTGCACGTCCGCCGCTTTCGCCACCACCGCGGGCGCAGCCTCGTCCTGCTGCACCACGCCAATGACGCCCGAGCCCAGACTGCCCTTGCCTCTGACACGAACCGGCTTCATGCTCTCGAACCGCACCGTCCGAGTCGCCAGATCGATGACAGGATTTGCCGCCGCCAGCACATCCATGCCCAACAGGAGCGGCACCACCGGCCCATCCAGGATCATCGCTTGGACCCACAACTGCCGGCCCGCCAAAGTAACTCGCAGCGCCACGCCCTCGCGCACCTTCATCTCCTCTTTCGTCACTGTCCTCAACTTGATCATTGGAACTGGAAATGAGGGGGCACGAAGTGTATTTGCTACAGCACGGCTCACAAATGTGGCGACCGATCCAGTGTCAATAAGAGCTTGCACCTGCATCGCGGTATCAGAAGAACCCGCGCACGCGACTTGCACCTGCTGTGTCAACGCTTCGTATCGCCCGACTCCTACCGCGTTCAGGGGGAGTCGGGCTGGGCTTTTCCCTGCGCGGCTTCACCTTGAACTGCCGCCACCGCCGGGGCCTGACCGCATGTCTTCCTGAGATGGGTTCCGGAGCCACAGCGGAAACAAAGGTGCTCACGGCGACGTCTCTCGAGCTCCTCCGCCGACAAGTTGTACTTGGCCGCCATAGCCTCCGCGAACGCCACCGCCGCCACCACGCTGGTCTGCTGCTTCTGCGGCTGGGAAGGCTGCTGCTTCGGTTGAGCCGCACGCTGACCATAGAACGACGCCTTGTAGCTCGGCTGCGGCTGCGGTTGAGGCGGCGCCGCTGTGACCTTTCGGCTCTCCCACTCCTGCATCGCCCACAGGCTCGCCATGAGCTCAGACGGCGGGAGATTCTCGGATATATTTTCCATCCGCGCGAACTGGTAGACTTCGAGAGACATGGCGGCCCAGATAGCCTTCGCGATCTCGCTCTCTGACAGACCCGACACCTCCGCATACTTGTCGAGGACCGTCTGGATCTCCAACACCGACAGCTTGCTCATGTTGATAATCGCCTTCATCGCAGTGGGACGCTCGTTGGGGTCGCCGAAACGGAGCCGGAGCCGATCGCAGAGCTCCTGGTGCGAGAGCCTCCACCACTTGTCGCTACCAGAGGCGAACCAATCGGCGGCCGACCCGACCAAGGTGAGAGACAGGATCTCGTTCCATCTCTCCTCTGGAAAGTACGATCGGTAACGCTTCAAGTCCTTCTCGTATTGGGTCAGCTTTGCCGCCGTGCCGTCGAACGAGGGAGCTAGCAGCTTGGGCGCCTTGGCGGGCTGCCAGTCGACTGCCTGCGGACGGGGTGCGGGCTGGTGGACCGCCGGGGTTGAGACCGCTGGCGGTGGGACTGACGATGACGAAGCCAGCTTTTGCGGCTCGACGTCCGTTTCAGTTTTGATCACGCCGCCTTGACCCTGGTGCGTTTTCGTCAGATCCTTCAGATCTTCATCCTGTTGAGGTGTCTCCTCATCGTTCTTGGAGTCTCCTTCCAGCTCAGAGTTCTCGAGCTCCAAAGCAGCGAGCTGCGCCCGAAGAAGCGCGATCTTCTCTTTTCTCGCAGCCGTCTGTTGCCTCGTGTTTGCCGCGGGGCCCGTGCTTGCCTCAGCGCTAGTCGAAGCGCTGGTTGGATCGGTTACAACAGACATCGGGTGACTGTAGTCAGAGTCTGCAATGTGTAAGACCTTGGTAGGGTTAGCCAGGCAATGTTGTTGTAAAGTGTTTTATTTCACTTTGCAGACTGAACTGCAATTCCAAATGCATGCAAACAAACAATACAAAGACATCAACGCCGAGTCTTCTTAGCAAAGAACGACCCAGTCGGGACCGCAGAGCCTGCGGGTCCTGACAATGTGAATGTCACCTTTGTTCTGGAAAATCAGAGGAGGGGAAGTGGTTTGGGAAACCATGGTAAAACCGTGCGAAATTCACCTTTGAGCTCGATTTGCGCAAAAACGAGCGCGATGACGTATACTTTTTATTGCAGATTCGGAATCAGCGCATTTCATAGGTGTAAGTACATATCTTAGATCTTTTGGAAAACGTGGTTCCAAATTTGGAAGGCAACCTAACACTTAACTCGGGGCCAGCTTTTAACCCTAACCCTAACCCTAACCATACCCTAACCCTTCAACTTGCCACGTGAGCACATTGGTTATCAAACCGTGGGGCACTTTCCTTTTTCGGAATTATGCACCCGCAGGCGTTACACTATTGATTTCAGATTCTGTTTCAGCCCAGTTTTGGCTTTCGCTTCTTGGCGCTTTGTTTTTGGAACACTTTTGCCAAGTTTGGACCGAATCTCATCACGATGATATAGACCGTTAAATACGGATTCGGAATCAGCGCATTTTTTTGATCAAAATGTCCACCTCGCTTTTTTCGAAAACTGATGTGGGGGAGAGGATTTGTGGCAACATTGCATAAAACACACATTCAAAGTCGATTTGCACAAAAACGAGAACGATGAGGTGCACTTTTTATTGCAGATTTGGAATCAGCTAATTTTGTAGATCACAATGGTCATGAAACTTGTTCTGTAAAATGGGGGGGGGAAGAAATGGATTGTCAACAAAAGTGCACCAATTGCTAAGTTCACCTTTGAGGTTGATTTGCGCCAAACGGAGGCCGAAAAAGTACACATTATATTGTAGATTCGGAGTCAGCGCGTTTTCTAGATGAATATGAATGCGAACTTTTTTTGCAAAACGAGACAGAAATTGTGGCAAAAGCGGAAAATTCACCTTTCGGGTCGATTAACACGAAAACGAGTCCGACGACGCATACCTCTCAATACAGATTCAAAACCGCCGTGAGTCTTCTTTTGTTGGTTGAAAAATTGCATAGCAATTTGGGACGACTCCTGGTAATACCTTCCAGCCCTCTTCACCAACATTTCTCCCCCCCCCCTCCTCTCCGCGTCATTTCGATGACGAGTCATTTGCTGTTGTCTGTTACAGCTTGGTTCATGCTGCGCGTCCCACAAGCACCTTCTGGACACGCAGTTGCGTTTGTCCGCTTCATGGAACCCTCGCGAATCACTGGAACCGCAACTCGAATTGACTTTCGGACGAAGCTTTATGCTTCACACTGATCACCTCCCCGCCGCGACACACTCGCTATGTCATGTTGTTGGTTTGGCTATTTCAGGTTGCTAGTTGCGACCCACAGGCATTTCTAGACGCGCCTCGGCGCGTCAGCCGTTCGCGGAACCAACTTTGAAACCGCTGGAGAACCGAACTAACCACAAACCGACATCGTCGCTTCCCTGTCTCCTCCCGCCCTTCTTCAATGGATATAAATTTCCCAAGGCCTGTAGTGCACGAGCATACAGGCTCGCTAATGCTATGTCATATGACCAGACATGGCTCTCTGCCAATTTTGTGTCTCCAAGCTCCTTACACCCATGTCCATGCTCCCGCTCCTTTCTCCGTGGTTTTTGAGCATTTTGATGCTTTTCCACTCTCTCCTCCCAATAAACTTAATACAAAAAAAAAACCGCCGTACGTTGTAGTTTAACATGGCCATGAAACTTGTGATGTAAAATCAGAGGGGAAGAAAGGTATTGTGAAAACAGCGAAAATAATGTGCAATTTTCACCATTTTTGGCGATTCGCACGAAAACTAGACCGATAAGATGTACTTTTGATTACAGATTCGGAATCAGCGCATTTTTTAGAACAAAATGTTCAGCTTAGAATTTTTGGCAATTTTGGAAGGACCCTAACCCCTTAACCGGGAGGCAACTTTTAACCTTGACCCTAACCCTGTTTGTCATTCTTTTTGTATGTTTCCTTTCATTTTCTTGTCGCTCGTTGTATTGTTTGATGGATTATCACTTAGCATCCTTTCATTGCTTTTCGCCCCATGGTTTTGTTTGTTACCCTTGTGGCTGATTTCTTTTTGATTGTTTTGCTGGTTTGTATGGTTTCTGGCTTTTTGTTGGCTTTGATTTTTTCAATTTTGTTCGATTTCGCCCCATTCTTCGTTCGCGCACGACTTTTGCTGCTGGGCGATTTGCCAGTTGTTTGTTTCTGTTCTTCCTCGACATGACATTTCGCCTTTTTTCTTTCTTTTCCAGTTTCTGCTGTCATCGCTTGCTCTCAACCCGAACACTTTGGTTCGGCGCTTTTCGTTTGATTCTTGTTTGTTGCGTTGGTTGTCCGAGCGCAGCTAGAACGACTGTTTTTCCCCAGGAACGCTTAACTTCCCTTGTTCGCTTGCTTCTCGTACGCTGTTTTCGTGTTGGCGCATTCTTCATGCATTTTGCTTTCCTTGTCACGTGAGTGTCACAATGCTCCCATGGTTCCTTAACGTTTTCACTTTATTCAAATATTTGCTTCTTCATCGTCCGCTGGCGACTTTACATCGATCCAATCTTCTCTGTCTGCAATTCCGAGCAGAAGCTTTTGTAGCTCCTGCTCTTTTGCAGCGCGTAGTTGTCTTTCGTCAGCGAGCTCCAGTTTTGCGGCTGCGAGCTCCAGCTTTGCGGCTCCGTGCTCCAGCTTTGCGGCTGCGTGCTCCAGCTTTGCGGCTGCGAGCTCCTGATCCTTCACCGCGAGCTCCTGCTCCTTCATTGCGAGCTTCTGCCGTTCGTCAGCGAGCTCATGATTTTTGGTCGCGAGCTCTTGATCTTTGGCAGCCAACTCGGAGCGCAATTGCTGATTTTCAGTTGCAAGAGTGACGGGACTCTGAGGCACAATGCTTGCGGCGGCTGTAGCGGCATTCAGCGCCGACGTGGCGGGCGACGGCTCTTTCTTGGGTTGGACTCTGTTCAACAATAGTTTCAGCCAATGCATCTAACCGTTGTGTTGCGCATTTTTCTTCTTGCGAATACTCAGAGTCTTACCTCATGTTCTTACAGGTAGTGCCTTTATTGCCCGTTTGTGTCAGTGCATCGATTGCACCTCGGGACAAGAAGTTCCCGCCCAACCTGATGTCGTCGGATGATTCATAGCATGAGTCTCGTGACCGTCCGAGCATTTTCCGCAATCAATTCTTACTCAAGCTTCTTTAGTGTCTTGTTGACTTTGAGCGCCTCGACAATCGATGGAACTGCGGCATCGCCTATTTCATTGTGCCACAGACTGTCCGTCCCGTCCCATCAGTGAGCCACTCTTGCTGTCTCTCTCCTGTAGTCACCCACGCGCGCTTTAGTGGCAGTGTCTTACAAGAGCTCAGTCAGCGTTGTGTTCACTTTGAGTGCCTCAGCAATCGCTTGCGTTCCGGCAACTCCAATCTGATCGCCGCTCAGACTGTTCATCCCCTCCATCAGTCAGTACACGCATTGCCTTGTGCTGGAATCATTCACTCACATGCTTCAGTCAAAGGGAAGCGACTTACTCGAGGTAAGTCAACGTCATGTTCGCCTTGAGAAGCTCCGCAATTGCCTGAGCGCCGGCATCGCCAATGTAATTCCATCCGAGACTGCCCATCCGCTCTACTCTTAGTGCCTTTTGTTGAATAGTCCCTCACTCCCGTATATCCGTCCGACTGAGATGCCTTACGTGAGCAAAGTCAGCCTGGTGTTCACTTTGAGTGTCTCAGCAATCGCGCGCGCTCCAACTTCGCCAATCCGATTTGTGTCCAGACTGTCCGTACAATCCATCGATCAGCACTCTGAATGCTCTGCTGGATCACAAGCACAAGCACAAGTGACTTACTTGAGTTCAGTCACCCTCGTGTTCACTTTGAGTGCCTCAGCAATCGCCAGTGCTTCAGCGTCGCCGAGCTTTCTGCCAGACAGACTGTTCCTCCATTTCGTCAGTGCACTCCCTGCCACATGGATTGCAGTAAACTCAACTTCTTACCTGACATAGTTGGGCTCATTCGTGACTTCGTCATACAGCTCGCGCTGTCTCTGATTCATATTCGCATACGTCAGCATCATTCGAAGTGTGGTAAATGAAAACAGCGAAAAACAAAGACTGAACAACCTCAAAGCGACCCAATCCCGGTGCGCATTGGCTCGTTCCAGGTCCGTGCTCGGCATTCATGGTCATGGTTGGTGAGCAACTTTAGTCGAAAAGTGGACGTGCATTGGCGTGTAGTGTCCTGGCGGACCAGCAACCAATCACATCTCAAAGCAAACAAAGCCAGAATAAGAAAGCATGATTGAAAATTCGGCTAAGATCGTCCAAAAGCCAATGGAAGGAGATGAGTTTCACAGTCGGAGCGAAGAGCCAATCTGAAACTCGATGCAATCATCAGCAGTGGCGAAGTCCCGCTCGTCATTTCCCTCAATTAACAAAGTTTGACCGCCAGGAGTGGTCTTGGTTCTCAAGCTGTACCATTGCAAGAGAAAGTCTGCCGAGATCCCATTTCTCCGATACCACGCTGCATCCAAGACGTGATTGACGAGAATGGTGGCTGTTCTGAATACTAAAGTGGAGCTGGCTTGATTTGGTTGATTCTTTGCGTGACTCGCGTTGAATTTTGTACTTTCGAGCATGCAGTAAAAATTGACAATGTCAACAGCATTCCACACTCATGTTGTTTGACTGTTGAACAAGCATCTCTCTACTCACGCTTTGTCACGTTTTACGAGGGCGGCAGAAGTGTGGTGAGCGATAATGACATGCAATCTTGCAGTGCAAGGAGCGGTTTCAAGGAACTGTCATCTGGAAGCCTTGAGCGAATTGCTCCAGGTCGCCGCGGTGCATCACCCACGAAAGCGGTGGCGGATTTGCAATCGTCACTCGAGACGCCAACATGACTCCGACAAGAATCACAGTGTCTTCTTCCATGACACACTTTCGGGCGAGTTCCTTCCGAGCATTCGTTTCCAGCCGCTCAATCTCGTCTTGGGTGGTGAGACGAAGAGACTCATGATGCTTTACTTGCAGTCCAAGGACTGCCGGACGCAGTTTGCCGCTAGTCTGCAATCACATTTTGCCAACAACCGTGAGTAAGGATCGAAATCACAAAAGGGCGGTCGGGTTTGGCAACTTACTTTCTCGACGACTTGAGCATGCATGTAAAAGTCAATAGCCGGCTCAATGTGAGTCGCGAGCGTACATTCAGCATTGTCGAGCTTCATCATGCACTCCAGGTCTTCCCTCCAATTGCTCAGTGGCAACCGAAGTTGGAGTTCCTCACATCCCGCACCAAACTTGACGCCAGGTAGCAGCCGACTCAGCGGTACATCAATGTGAGCCGGCAGCTGTGGTGCACCAGTCTGGTCTGATGCGTCAAGCTGTTTTGAAGCGTCAAGCTTCTTTGAAACGCCAAGCTTTGAACTGTCAAGCTGCTTCGAAGCGTCAGCATGATCCAGCAGTGCTTTGGCGACAAGTACAATCAATCGCAAGTTGAAAAGGATGGCCACAGTATGCTCCCACGCAACTGCAGTATGATAATAATACGAGAAGTGACGGTCCAGCCAGCGCTGAAGTCCATCGACAAGGACGTAGGCGCAGCGCACAATTTGTTCGAGCGAGTCACATGTCGGTGAGGCGTCACCCGAACGCAGATCTGCAAACACTCAACGAGCACGTCAACTTGTCGTTTCTCGTGTCACAGAAGCAATTCCCCTAATTCTCACCAAGTTTTATCTTGTCGTGCAAATTGAACTGCAACGACCCTCTGTTGTCTTTCTCGCACGCTGTTGTTTGTCATCAATAAGACGGAAGGAGTCAACACAACAATCAGTCAAGTCCAGCATCTTGAAGTGTGACAACCAGCCAACTGACCGACGAAAGCACATCCTGTGTCAATCCAAGAGCGAGTTCGGGCGTCCAGACTTGAAGGGTTGATCGAGAACGCGTCGAACGCACAGAAGTGCACGAGTTCGATAAACGTGCGGGTATTCAGACAGAGTTTAGCCGCCGCGCCGCTTGCCATCACACCAAGAACCTTCTCAATGTGGCATGGTATGCCACCGGAAGGATGCAACTGGCTCTCGAGGTTTGCATCCACGCGCTTGGGTTCAGGCACCCCCTCCTCATCCAAGTCAAACTTGCTTGAAGTTGAGGTTTGAGAGTGGAACGACTCAATCAGGCCAGTGGTGAGTTCGTCGGACAAAGTGCCAGCGTAAAGCACAAAGAGTCGCGCTGCGGGGCGCTTAACGGCAGCCTTGAGTGACGCGAGAGTCTTGTCCAGCAGCCGACGTTGACGTTGAGCGTTGTGCCAGCTCGAAAAGCCAAGCAACTGTTGAATTCCGTCAACAGCGATGGCAAGCCACGGCAGTTGATCATGACTCGTGGGCTGCTGACTGTCGTTACGAGCCGAGTACTCAAACTCTTGGATGAACTGGAGCGTAGCAGCGACCTGGAAGCTGCCAGTTTGTTCAAAGTTGTCCTGAAAAAACCTCGGGGGAATTTCAAAGTAGGCAGCCAGCAGGCGAGTCGACAGGGCATGCTCCGGGTTGGCTTGCTTGAGAACTGTCCAGTCGTTCGCAGAGTCGAAACCGGAAGGACCGTCGAAAGAGACGGATAAGCACAACAGATTGTTTCTTCCGTAACGATCTCTGTTACGATGAGCTGCCGGGGCAATTTGATGCACAAACGCGTCACACAGACACGAGTTCCCTGTACCAGGGATTGTGGCAGCAAGAAACGACCGATGTTCAAGTGGATCGGTGTCGTTTGCGAGCGTCTTTTTCATCCGTTTCAGCAGCAGCGCCTCGATGATGGAGGAGGAGGAGGTTTCCTTCTGTCGTGTGCAGAGCAACAACATTAGACAAACGTCACAATTCGGTCATCTAGCTCGACTAGAAACGTACGTTTTTTGGTTGCTTTCGCTCCAATGTGATCAGGCCACGGAGCGAATCGCGGATCAAGGCTGGCGTGCTTTTCAGGTCTCCTGTTGTTCCAGCATGCGTTCATGAGCGCACACACACACACACACACACACACACACACACACACACACACACACACACACACACACACACACACACACACACACACACACACACACACACACACACACACACACACACACACACACGTACCATTGCGACTGGACAGAATAGAAGCCAGCCAAGCCCAAGCTGTCGCCAAAACCGGCTGGGTTTCGTTGCCCTCATCGCCGTCCTCATCGTTGCTTTGCTGTTGAGAACAAAAAATTCAAGGTAAGAACAATGGCTGCCATCGTCACAGGCTGTCAAAGCATGGCACCACTGCGGTGAAAAATTTCAAGCACATAAGGTCGGCAAAAGCAAAAAAAAAAACAACCACAAACAAAATGGCGCGCAACTGCCGAGACACCAGTAAGAGCAAAGTTTGCTCGCCCCTCACGACTCTCGCCACTCCCGCCACTCCCCGGCAGCACAGAACCAGTTCGTTCAGAGAGTTCA